ATTGGTGGGGGGAGGGAGGTTTCAGAGAGTGTACTTACGCTGCTTCCCACCGGTTCGCGCTGAAGAGCAGGTGGATGACGTGATCGTCCATCTCGACCTGGCTCTTGAGGTACGAGTCGATCATCTGGCCAATTGGCGTCGTGCGGTCTTGAGAAAGGGGAAGGCACATGTTAGCGAGCCAGTCCGGCCTCCTGGGACTCCCCCCTCAACTCAATGGTTGCTCTCATGGATCGTAAGACAGGCACATACCCGGGAACCGCATCACCTTAACCTTGCGGCCGAGCTCGACGAACCGCTGCTCGAGCAGCTTGACCTGCGTCGTCTTGCCGCTGCGGTCGAGACCCTCTAGGACCACCAGGGCACCCCGGGCTACGGCAGGCTCACCGCCGGCGCCGGCACTGACACCACGATCATCGGTCCGGGGCCGGGCCGGATCGGGCAATGACGGGTGCGGGGCTGTCGTTGCTGCTGCTGCTGCTGCGGCTGCGGTTGGTGGTGCTGTGGCGGGGTCAACGAGGGCCGTAGCGGCCGTCGCCAGATCGTTAATCGAGGCCATGGTCCCGGTCCAGCGAATCAATTCCCGTTTGCTACCTGAAACAAGGGAGCGGTCGGGAGGATTGGGGAACGTGGAAAGGTAAAAAAAAATAAAAAAGAAGTGGCTGGACCAATTGTTGGTGAGAAGCAATGGCAGTTGCGTCAATGCCAATTCAGTTTCCCAGTGCTGCAGGCGCTTCGATGCCGCAGGTTGTGTCTCGCGGGGCACAGAAGCTAAGAGCTAAGGTACCGGCCAAGTACCTCCAGTACACTCAAAGCGGAGCTCTCCGGCTGGGCTTGGCACGGGTGCTGCCCCTCCATTGTGCTTCCGTCTTCTTTCGCAGGCTGCGCACCTAGGGCAGACTGCATTGTGGAGCAAGTGCCAGTTGTCAATGGATGAAACGTTGGGAAATGCCCGACCAGTCAAGCCAGTGAATCCGCGCTTTTCCGACTGATCACAGAGGCGAAAAATATGGCGAGGTAAACTCGGTAAAGAGTGCCGCTGGTCTGCAGCAGGCAACGGATCCCGTCGCAAGTCGCAAGAGCAGTGGCCCGAGAGTGGGAGAGTGGGCTGCTTTGCTGCAAGCTGACTGCACCAGGCCAGGATTCTCAGCTCCCGAGTCCCATGAGATCGATCACCTGCACCTGCTGCTTCTCCGCTTGCTGTTGAGGTCGGGAGCCCAGCCGCATCTAGACCCCCGGGCATTCGTATAATTGATACCTTGAAACGTTGGGTCCACGGTGAGGCAGAAGGTACTAGAAACAAGCTACGAAAATACAGGTAAATTCTCCCGAGTATTCACATTCTAATCAAGCCCGTAGACTGAAAGATGAGGGAAAAGCAAAAAGAAACGAGAAGGGCAGCAGGTCGTCCAGGGTGGGGTTCGGTTCTGGAAACCCAGCGGAAAGAGGGGCTCCCGAGGACGATCCCCCGGTTGCCGTTATAAAAAGAAATGCCACCAGATCTCTCTTTGGGGCTCTGGGGTCATCCTCTTCACTTGGCGGCCCATGGGGATTTGCTACGTCATTGACAGGGACGTGAGAAAAAGCTCTCGAGTGCATATCTAAAGTCATGGTATTGACAACGCAGAGCTGCGTGTTTCACGCCGGTAGACGGATTAGACAAAGCAGAAAAGAAAAAGAGGCGCGGAAAGCGGGCGAAAGTCCCACGGGGAGTTCGGGCCAAATCGTGGGAAAAAAAGAGCGGGCTCGCGGGGGTGGGGACAGCGACCACTGCGCCGCGGTCCGTCAGCGACGGGACGGAAGAAAAGAGGAAGGCATGTAGGCATGTTGGCCCGTTCGCAGCCCGTCTTGGGAAATTGATGTTCAGGATTGATTTCAATGATTTCCGTCAGTCCAGTCGGCGATTCCGCAATTTTGGAATGCTAACATGCCACATCGCACCTCTCCCAGCTCTCCGAATCTCATATCCTGTTCTCTGTGCACCTGTCTTGCCTGTGCTCCCCCGTCCCTGCCCGCAACCGCAGGAATGAATGGGCGCAAGGGAGACGAACCGGCACGCTCTTGACTTACACAACCGGCCGAATCGGGGCTGCTCGGTGCTGCTGTCTCAGTTGATCTGCGCTCTCCAGACTCCAGCAGCCGAAAGAAAAGTGGAACCACTTAACGCGACCCCGTCTCATTGCTGCCGAGTGGAGATGCTACGGAGTAAGAACGCGATCATTGGCCTCCTTCGCTGCGCAGCCCGGACACACCGCGTCCCGTGGGGCGCTCGATCGCTGGTTGGCTCGTGCTCATGGTAGCCTGCGACGGGAGCTGCCAATCGCTGTGCGAGTCGCTGGGCCCGCTGCGAGCTCTCAAGCGCAGGTTCGACCCAGGCTTGACCAGGCAAAGGCAAGGGCGGAGTCCCTTTCTGGTCCTGGCTTTCCTGGGCTGCTGGGCACCTGCACTCTGGGACCCCGCTCAGAGGCGACAGAGGCGCTGTGATTGGAACAAGACCGGTACCATGGCGGGACAGGGCGGCACGCGTTAGGTAGGTTTTACCACGAAAAGGCAGGCACGTCAAGCAGCCCAATCTCTGACCCTGCATGATGATGCGCCAACCAGCACGAGCGACTCCCTCACACCCATCTGTCTGAGACCCGGACCGTCGAGTGCCATTCATTTGCGGGTAGTTTTAATCCTCTGAGGGAGTGTGCGCAGAACAAGTTGTAGCATTGTATGTAGCATTGTAGCATTGTAGCATTTTGCAGCATTTTGGCAGGAACTTGGAGCGCCTGGAGCACCTGGAGCACTTCATGTTTCTCCTTTAAAACCCCGGGTCGTCCCCTGCTCCTTCTTGCCCTTGTGCTCAACCCTGTTCATCTCTACTCATCCATCTCATCGTTCCTCCCCTGTGCTGTTCTGCTCCACGCACCTTGTTCCAAAAACTTCACCGCCCAGACGCAGTTGATTCACGTCGCGCCTCCTTCGCGCGCATTGCAATTTAAGCCTTCCTCCTCTCCCTCTCTACCACTCGCTGCTGCCTTCCTCCAACACAAGCCAGCGCTTCGCCAAACCACACAACAAACCCAAAAAAACCGCAGAGATAATCTCGGTTTCGGTATCACTGAAGCCTTTGATCAGAGTCCCAGAGTCCCAGACTCCCAGACTCCCAGACTCTCAATCCCCCTCCGCAGCAGCGCGCATCACATCCCGCAGTCCCACAACACTCCAGTCCCACCCCTCCAACTCGTGTCCGGTGCCAATCTGGCCCCCAGAAACTGTCGCGACAGATAAGAGACCATCTCGACCGGCCGGCCGTTTCAGCAGGCC